TATTTTAACAGAAAATCGTTCATAACGCTTTAAGAAAGAAAGCTATATGTCCGTTTGTTTATTGCCTCATATTCTGCACTTCTTCTCAATAATTCAAGTGTTTGTGGCCACGAGTAAAATAGAATTTTAACTTAAGATGGAAGTTGTTGCTGACAAGAAATGACCAATTTTTTTACGCAGTTACCAAAACAGGACATTTATTACAATGTTACATAATAATACAACGCTGAAACTTTATTTTCCACGCGCACTACTAATTTTCACGTTTAAACTGACACATTACGCTAATAAGCACGTCTAAGTTTTTTCCCCAAAAAAACACTGGTCAGACTGGCAAATTTGACCAGTAGACTGGATATATTCATTTTCACGTCTGACAAATTAATCCAATGATTATGTTTGGGGATAAATCCTCCGATTGACAAATAGTCAACAGAATAACGTTTATTACTGCAAGACTTGCAGTTATGTGGTATCAAAATCAGTATTAACAAGCGTTCGCCGAACCTTGATTCAAAGAATATTATGTCTGTAAATTATGGAATGAAACAAATTCGTCTTGTGGGTATACAATTTCCAAAAAAAATCAATAAAAATCAAAAGTATGATTAAAACTCGCAATGTAATACATGTACATTGAATACCCATAGCTTGCCACCCCTCCATCCCCATTCTACATTTTTTGTTTTCAAACAAACATGTTAGACGTCTTTCTTAAAATTTACACATATAATTTCTGCAGCAGATATATAACTTAATACATGTACACATTAATGCGAATTGAGGCAAGAAAAAATAACCTAATGAGATTTACAGACATATATCATGAAATTCATCGACACATGTTAGATTCAAACCGTAGAATAACATTCTATTGTGGCATACATGCCACACTTCGCTTTAACATGCCACAGTCTAGCTTTTACAACGTTAAACGTTGCTAATGCACGTCAAACGGGCTGTTCGCACACGTCAAATGTAGCGTGTCATTACGGCTGCTTCAATACCTCAAAACTTTCAGCATAATGAAAACTTTCAGCATAATGATAAATCAGTTTCCAGACACGAGTACCGCCCTTCCTGGCGTCTTTATTTAAGACGTTTGTGTCATGTAGTAAAAATAAAAGTTTTCAATCTAAACGTTACGACGTCGGGAGATCTCGTGCAGTTTAGCTGTTGACACGTTGTCAATGTAATAAGTTAAAGTATATAAATGTTAACCGGTACTTTAAGATTTTTGGGAATACATTTTTCAACAGAAAATATACGAGCGTTTATCATTTTTATTTTAAATCGTAGGATTGAAAATAGATACCCGTACGTGTTAAAAACTGATTCGTAGGTAATTTTCGAAATATACTTTGAGGTTTCTTGTTGCATCAAGAACAATATATATATTTTTTTATATCCCTAACTCCATGCACTGCTGACATAAGCAGAATTACCATCAAAGCATGTACTGTTAGAAAACAGCCATTACTCCAAATTAAAACAAATTAAGAAGCGAGTTTGTGGCAAATTAGAGAAAATTATCGAAGAAACGTACAATGACTGATCTGCCTAGTTTTAACATATTTGAGCCGCGCCACGACAAAACCAACATAGTGCGATTGCGACCAGCATGGATCCAGACCAGCCTGCGCCTCCGCGCAGTCTGATCAGGATCCATGCTGTTCGCTATCAGTTTCTCTACTTGTAAAAGAGTTGGTAAGCGAACAGCAAGGATCCTGATCAGACTGCGCGGAGGCGCAGACTGGTCTGGATCCATGCTGGTCGCAAACCCATTATGTTGGTTTTGTCGTGACGCGGCTCATTTCTTCAACGATTTTTTTTTTCAGATGAAAAACCCAAGAATGTTTGTTAGAAGAATCTCCATCAAGCTTGAAATTTAAATAACGTCATACTTTAGCAGTGGTCCTTTTATCTCTGTGTAGCCCCAGTCAAAAAGCTTCATTTTCAAAATACAATGTATCTTTTCCGAAAATAGAATTTTTCTAATATAATTACGATATATTTGCCGATCATATCTACGTTAAGTGTTTTCTGTTGTTGGCGTTTTCTCATTATAATCTTATTTAATTTTTTTTCAAAGTATAGGAAAATTTGTTAACTTTCTCAGGGAATGGGCGAGATATGTCACCGTATCGCCTTCACTTTGATTACTGTTTTATATAGTTAAATAACGGGCTATAATACATATGCTAATTCTAAACGGTTTCAATTTAAAAGAAAATTTCACTTAAAGAGACTATTTTCCTATAATGTTTCAATTTATGAACATAATTTTATAATTTTACGCGTGATTTAACCTCGCACTATTTGTATAGACGGCTAATTTACCCGAAACCGAATACGTTCAAGTCTGTAGTATATATAGACACCTTACTCGAAAAAAAATGAAAACCCAGTAAAAATGTCTAATTTGATTAAATGTACTTTTCAACAAGTTCATCATTCAAGGTGCCAATTATTTTCTCAGTAGTAAAATTTACAATTAAGCCAGTAAAATAAACTTCCTTTGAATCGCTTCCAAATTTCAATTAAAAACATCCGCACGGGAACTACTTTCTGTTCCAGTGTACATACGCAAGATAAAAAAAACAAACAACGAGGAAAGGATCGAAGTTAATTATCATGAGTGAAAGACACTGAGAGAAAAGTCAAGAGTAGCTACCTTATCTATGCAAGACATAGACACAATGCCTACCGTATAACAAACCTAGCCAAAAACTTATCTGGCACAATTTACGTACCGTATACTCTGGTTTTTATCCAACACACGTACATAAAATATTTTCATGCTTGCAACTTTGAAGTTACAAAAACAAATCATGAATTTTCGTATGTTAAAATTCGGTCAAAAACTGCACCAAGATAATTGAATTACATTTTGTATTGAATTAAATTATTGAATTAGCTTGTAATGCATGGATTTGGCCGGCTTCGATATACAAAGTACAAAAGTTGACCTACCAACTGTACAGGGCCTAGCTAGTGCCCGGATGTACAGTATACTAATAAGTTCTGTTTCAACAAGTTAAAGGTTAAGCAACTGCACATGTTTTCCATTACAATGACAAAATGCAAACATCAAATTTAATGATTCTTTAGATAAAAAACCTTCAGAAACACTTCAATTTACTAGGCAGTGATACTAATGAAAGAAATTGCAAATTACATATGGCATTCCGAGGATAAAATATCTAAATTATATGCATGAGTGTTACGGGCAATACCATTTATATCATTGTTCCAGTGAAATAAGTAGACGCTAATTGTTATTCATAAATATCATAAAAATATATCCGGAAAAACACCTTGCACATGGTCGCTACAGGCAAACACCATCCCGACGGCTACACGTTCCCGACGGCAATCACCATCACGTGGTACAAGACGAACGCTCGCATGCTGATGTTCTTGTTAATGACAATACAGATAAAAATCTTGCCAATTACCAGACTGTTGACGGACGGAATCAGTGAAATAGATGTATCAATGCGCGATCTCGTCGATACAGAGTGGAGAGAGAGGTCATTTATCACGGAAATCACGTGCAGTAATCAAGTAAAGCTACCATATCACACATGTTTATCAAGTAAAGCTAGCATGCCAGAATTACAGTTGTTGACGTATTCCTCTGAACGCCATATTTTCATGAATCGGTTTTGATTTATTCTGAATAGTAAATTCCAGATTTCTACCTTAAATAAACGTTAATAAGACACAAAAAAGACATATCTTATTATATTAGTTCAGATAAGAAAATGAATTATTAACTTTTGTTTTGTAATTAATATATATGACATGTCCGAAAGTGTGACAAGAAAAAGTTTAACGGCTGTTAGGTCAGTAACATTTAATCAAAGTAAGTGTCTTCTGCTTAATAAATAGCCTTTTTAAAAATTTGCTTGTATGCCAAAAGCATAAGTATAACGTCCAAGGTTCAAACATTCTTTAACGCCGATGTTGTTAAATTGTGACAGAACATAACTTACATTTATTTGTATATTATACGACTTAAAGTTACCTAAGTGCAGAGTTTTAACATGTTACATAAAACTAAAAGCATTTTTTTACGTTATAGCATTATGAGAAGGGTAATGATTGAGTTATATTATAACCAGTGAGGTATATACATTGCTGCCATAACTTACACGATTTTAACATTAAACTTGTAGAGATCATATAAACAAAAGAAAATCTGAAAAATGCTTGCCCAGTGTACAATAATGTACCACAAAGGTACTTCTGTTTAATTAAAGGAACGCAAGATGTTACTAATGTTACGTGATGAATGATTTGGGTTTTAAAGATTTACGTTATCTGGTGAAAGTGTCTGAGTTTATTTAACTAACAACATGTAGAAGGTTTTAAGATGGATTAATTGTCGGCTGCATATCTTGACGTCATTCGTCAGTGTTACAGATACTGAACGCCGCGTCTGATCGAAGTTCGGAACAAAGCATGCTGGAATGTTGGTGATGGTGTGTTTTATGGAGGTATCCTTATATGTTTCTATCTGTCACTAGATTTGCGATGTGATATGATAATGAATAAAATGAAAATTAATATTGTTTTAAAGGGCCGTCACAGCAAGAAAATGTATCTATACGCTTACATACGCTTATATATACTAAACGTGCATATACGCTTTTACCTCACTACCATACGTCCGAATTATTTTTTGTGTGTAAAATCATATATTATCATTGTTATAATCATTTATTTATTTATTTATTTATTTATTTATTATTGTCATTTTTGTGGTTGTTGTTGTTATTATAATTATTATTGTTGTTGTTGTTGTCGTCGTCGGAGTATAGGGAATAAAATAATATTATCTGTATTTGAGCATTTAAGATTAAGTAAAGAAAATATGAAAATGTCATTAATATATCATGAACATCTTATTTATATACTAAATACTGCATTATTTTAAGTTATGGATTAGCAAATATACATCAAAATCACGTGATCAGATGCACGTGACAACTTACCTTTGGTTCAAGCTTTCCTACACGTTGAGTGATTGGATCTTTTTGTATCACTTCTATTCTACAAACTTCATCTCGACGTTTCATATTCTTTATGACAATATCATCAGTATTTAAATACACTGTTCGCCCTACTTTCACTGTTATAGCGTTCGTCCGTACGACCAACCCTGCGCTTACAAGCCCCGGCCATATACAGGCTAAAAATAGCACACATATCCGAGCTCTTCTCATTGGCAACCCCATTATTCCAGAATCACTTTCCGTCTATCCATTCACAAATGAGCACGTGTATTCCATGAAATAAATCGAATTCATTCCTTCATCACATAATTAAATGATGTAATCACATTTTTATTTACTTCTTTCAAATTTTCACATTTTTTTATATTTTTAAATTTGTTTAAATCCAAAAACTCGTAGCAAATGATCAAGGCATTTTCGTGAACAGCGCTCTTTCTTTCTTCGCAGTCTGAAAATATAATGAAAACCAATGGTTACAATATAGCAGACGATAAAATATTATATTTTGCAAGTCCTCATTATTTATATTTTACATACTTTTTGTAATATGTTATTGCATTCCGAAACGAAATTAAAATTCCAGCAGAATATGGCAAAGTCCTGGGTCATCGGCTTTTCTCGCGTAATAGGATTTGTTATTAAACCTTCAGATGCTTTGCAGACCTCGCGAAATTACGTAATAAGTAGCCTATAATCGGATACACAACAATCCGTACAAGTGGTCTAAGGTCCTTGTTATTGGGATGGGATAAAATCCAGAGGCGTTATGATCCGGTACCTTTTCACACCTACTAATTGCCACATTGTCAACCAGGTGTCAAGTTGTCTGTCGGCTATTTATGGTTACGTATTGAAAATTAGAAAATGGTTCACTTCAAACCAATAGGTGACCAGAGGCCATTTGAGATTTGAAAAATAACAGAACAGAAGGGCGGTGCGTCAGCGACAGAAAAAAGAATGCATTGTTGTAATAAGTTTACATAAACCTGAACAAAGTATGTTGTTTTTCGATTTATTAAATTAAAAGTGCCGATATAAAAGCTCGGAAATCCTTGTAAGCTATAAATTAATACTTTTAATCCAAGTGTTCCCTTTTTAATAACCAATGTTACTATATCTTAATACATAAGAAAACAGCTTAATCTATGTAAAAGGGCAGTTTAAACTTGAATTATTTCGAATTATCGGAATTAATACCTACATGTTAAAAATAGAAGAAAAGAAGTTGTACACGATTGTCGGTTTATTGATATGGTAACGGTATTTCATGAAATTCCAAAATTAAAAATAACTTAATATCTCATTTATTACTGAATTTCAAAATCAAGAAAAAAATGCAACACGCGTTTTATCACCGAAAGAATTCGTTTTCTGCGAAAATGTATAACAATAATAAAAAATACATACAGTAATATTATATCAATTTTTTTTTCTATACAGAGAGCGAATTAATAGTATTTTTCAAGTTAATTTGTCCCATTATATAATTTCATATATATCTACATGCATTAAACATTTTTTACTTCAATGAACATAATTTGATATTGGTTTTACTACATTCAGCTATTTAGTTTAATTCTCTAAAATATTCTGTGACAATGCACGGACAAAACTAATGTATATTCTGGAATAAGATTATGTCAAATTGTATGAATTTTTGCGAGGTCTGCTGCTTTGAAAACTACGTCTATAAATGTCATTCTTTGTTGAGAAAAAAAATGGCAATAAGACATTTCTAACAACAACAAAAAATGAAAATCGCGAGGTGTCCAAAATAGCCCGCACTCCCCCATAAATCTTTCAAAATAACAAACTTCCCTAGTTAACTCTGGCAAACAAACCAACATTGAAGTGTAAAGCCTAAGGCCACTGTTACGTGGTCCGACAACTATGGTGGGAAAATGTAAATAACAATCATGATTAGTTGAATTATAGGTTTACAAAGGTCCATGATTATTTTATTTGTACAAATATAGTGATTATGTCGGTTTCGATTAGTGGTAACAAGGAGCTAATAAAAGCCGTGTTTTCCGTACACCTGGTTCGTACCGAAAGCGGTTATATATTTGAAAATAACAGGGTATAATGTAAAAGGTCATTGGATGTCGTCTGCAGACAAAAATTAAATTATCCTGACACATCTAGTTTGACTTTAAAGAGGACAGTATACATGGACTTTGTATAGTTCATGCATCGATGAAAATCAATTTTTTACACTGGTCGCATTCCTTTCAAATCTTCAAATAGCATGCACTGAAGTACATTTGGGTCTTCTGGTAATATACTAATTTGAAAACCGGAATGTTGCAACATCTTCAATATTACGTCACAAATGACGAGATCAGATGACGCCAAATAGAATACATTGCACTTCTTCAATTTACGACAATAAATATATATATAGTAATAAGCTCAATGAAGTTTCATAAAATTTTCATTTTTTTTTAAATTTGCTTGTTAGGATAGAAATATATTTATATTTTGAATTTCTTACTTATTTAGTTTTACCGCGTTTTGTTCTCTATAACACTTCGACCGACAAAAGTAGGTTTATATATCATTGACTTGCAATTTACTCGTCTATTTCCCCCCACTGTACCATTGATATAACATGCATTCATTGTTTAATCAGATTGCATCTGTTTTGTGTAAATCTCTGAACGTATTTTTGTATCTTTTTTGCATTTTCTATTTGTTTTTAGTATACAATTTGGCAGTTTAATGACTACAGATAACATTTTCTTGTAAATTACTACGCAAGTTCCATTAATTCTGTTGTTTTAATTCTGTAACACTTAACCAATAAGTCCCGACCTTTGCAACACGCATATATAAACGTTTTATTAAAATGTGAAACATACATTATGATAACATTTATCTATCTATTTATTTTTTGTATTTTGCCTTAACGTAAGGAAAATTCCATTTCATTAATGGTGATATTTGCCGAAGAAATCGTCTTTAATATCACCTCAAACCGAATCAATAAGGTAAATCACCAATTAATAGAGAAATTTTTATAGCGTTTCATAGATATAGGACAACGTGACAAAACAACACATGGTTTAAAAATGGCCAAAAGTGTGGACGAATATTTTCCTCTTTGGTTTCCATTCCGCTCATTTTAGAAGCAAATGTACACGAAAGCATAAGCACAGTCGTCTCAGAATATATTGCATTCCAGAAATATATGTTTCATTATTTTTATGTTAATTTTGCCATAAAATTAAATAGGAAAAAAGAGGAATTCTGTTAAGACAGGTTAACATAATTATGATAAGGTGGTAATTTAAATGTAATTCTCAGACAGTGATATTTTTATTGCTCCATCTAACTTTAATTAGAACATCTTAGCTGTCTAAGTGCTTTCTTAGTATTCGTACTCAAAAAATCTTTTCTTTTCGGTTATGACAAATTAACAACAAAATGACTGACTAGGCGGTATATTTTGAAAACGTTTGGAAAGAAAGAAGATATTTCATTTGATGCAGTTCTGAGTATAGTGACTGTACTGAATTTTGGATTTTTTTGAGCCCAGCTTCTATTGCATAGCTTTCTTTGTAATTTGGGTGTATCGTTTTATGGGTTGCATTACAGGCTAAGGATCCAAAAGAGGCACAGCCACCCCAGTTGAACCGTAAATGAAGTTTGAACGTTTAACTGTTACTCCAAGAGAAAAAAAAGACATTCCAAGAAAAAGCAGATCCATTAAATCACATTTGAAAGTTATAAAATAATTTACCATCGTTAAAAGCTAGTTTGAAAATTAATGAAATTTGCCGAAGATGTTATCAAACAGTTGCTTGATTATATTTCAGAGAATGTGGATTAGTGATGTTTCACAAGATATAAGAATGTGTTATATTAAATAACCATTAAACGGATGGTAAAAAAATAACTTCTTGGAAAGATTTCCTGATAAAAAGGAATGACTCGGAAAATTTACAAGTATTTTACGTGAATTATAACTAGATTAAAACAATATCTTAAACGTGTGAGAAGCCATGTTCCTTGATTAATTTTATGATACCGAGTAAACCCCTTTACTGTGATAAGAAAAGGAGTAAAATTTTACGTATTTATGTTCTAATAAACCCTATCTAATATCTCTCACTCTTTAATATTGTAATGGATTTAAAATTGGATATAGATTTATCCGACAATTATGCTACTAGCTTTTAAGTTAAGTTATGAATATAGTTCATACAAGAAAACACTTGAAAATAGAAATTAAGTTTTTTTCTTATTATCATACAGTATGATTTACATCAAAATGAACGTATGATTAAAACTATATGAGCCGCGTCACGACAAAACCAACATAGTGGGTTTGTGACCAGCATGGATCCAGACCAGCCTGCGCTTCCGCGCAGTCTGATCAGGATCCATGCTGTTCGCTATCAGTTTCTCTACTTGTAATAGAGTTGGTAAGCGAACAGCATGGATCCTGATCAGACTGCGGGGATGCGCAGGCTGGTCTGGATCCATGCTGGTCGCAAACCCACTATGTTGGTTTTGTCGTGACGCGGCTCATATAGCTGTTTCATTTAAACAGATTTTTTAGAGAAAAATAAAACTGCTTTGTATCTGTACATGTATTTTGAAATGTTTAAGTAATAAGTTCCTAGTTAACCTTGTTTATCGGCCATCTGCATTGAATATCGCGAATGTTATAAAAATCTGGGAACAAAGTGATCCCACGTAAGCATTAATCACAACAAAATTACATGAAAATTGCAGACTCGGTTTGATCGTGTTTGTACATGAGACTATTATTTTATAAAGCATTTTTTAAACCAAACAAAACTTTATACAAGCCACTTGACTATCGGAAGAAAATCGTTCTGTTTATTATATATATATAAAAGTATGTTTTGGGAAATGCACAGTACAAAGTTCTTTAATTTTTTATACGTTTATTTCTGTTAGCGCTTTCAAATGTTTCTACATATCTTCAGACAGTAACGTATAATATAAACATAACAAATATAACAATGACGTAACGTTATAAAAGTGCGGGAAACGTAAAAATACGACGTTGCGCTGGAAATGAGATATTCTTTTACCTTCTATATAAGAAGTATGAAATTGCTACAAAAATACATAGGGTAAATATTCTATAAAGGGAGGTAATAAATAAGTATTAAAATTCAAAGCATTGAGTAATTTTAGAAGTAGATACAACGTTTGCATTACCTATAAATACTTTTTAATATTAGTGAGCTAAAAACGAGTAAAAATATGTCAGAAAATGTTTTACTTGAAACTATGTGGAAATGGAAAAATATTTACTTATATAAATGTAAAGATTTTGCATGAACCTTTATAAAGGGGCCTCCGTGGCCGAGTGGTTAAAGTCGTTGACTTGAGATCACAGGTCCCTCACCACTGTAGGTTCGATCCTCACTCGGGTCGATTCTTTCATGTGAGGAAGCCATCCAGCTGGCT